ATGACAATAGATCATGGCACATATTCAGATAGATATTTAGAATAAATGGTGAAAAGACATTTATTTAATTAATCCTTTTCTTTAAAAACTAAGGGATCCTTTAGAGGCTTTAAACACAATGATTACTTAAACTTCAGATAGACATCTTAGGAATATGCTGTGAATCTTATCTCATAAGCTACCAGAAACTCCAGAAGATCTTAGGGTCAAGCCAGTTCTGCTCCTTAAATTTAAATTTGAGGTTACTTGAGTGAGTTGCCTGAATGAAGAGGAGTTAGACTGGGACAGTTTACTTAATCACACTAAGCCCCAATTTCCTTATCTAGAAAATGGGTATTAATGTGCCATTAGTAACAGTGGATACTATGACTGCATAGTGGAGTAGGATATAAGACCTACTCCATTCCGATTGTAAAGATCAGATAAGATGCTATGTCTAACATGTTTAATGTAATACTTGGCAGGTGTCTAGTAAATGTTAGCATCAAGGGTGATGCCTCGTGTTAAAGTGAGTTAAGGCAAAGCTGAGTCTAGACCTCAGCAGCTCTCCCTCTCCTCATGCTGTTATAGGACAACCCCAATATTGAACCGGTTGCCTGGCTGTGGGTCCTCACCTGCGCGCTTAAAAGGGACTTATGAATACTCCACTCAGGCACACACAAAGGGTTAATAAAAGGTTTATTTACAAGGGAAAAGGAAATAAGGAAAATGTACAACTCAGAGAAAATAGGGAAATAGTCTTTAATGAGTCCTACCCAATCCGCCGACCTGGAAACCCAAAGTCACTCTCAGAGCTGGCCGGACGCTGCGAGCTGGCAGAGAGCCAAAATGGGGGACCCCTCCAAAGCCCATGTGTCTGGCTTTATACCAACCTGACTGCTTAACCCCACCCTCAGGTCCCAGCCACCTTCCTTTTGGTGGTGATGGGATTTGGCGTTCCCAGTGTCTTTGGCTTTGGCCTAGGGTGGGGGTGGAGTCCACAAAGCCTGTATGGAATTAGCTTTAGGACATCCTTTCCCCCTAACAATTCCTCCACCCCCTCCCAAGGCTAGCTTCTCCTACACACACACACACACACACACACACACACACACACACACACACACTCCCCTGTCCCCACTCCTGAATTATAATGCATTCAAGAACTTTTGGGCACTTTGTACAAAATCAATTTGTTGTTTAACCAAGCTAATAACATTTTCATAAGCTCCAAAGCCATTTTTATCTCCATAGATTAACAATTTGTATTTCATAATGTGTGTTTATTCCTATAGGAGTGTGTTCTTTCCTTCAAAATAGTAATGGTAAGCCAAATTGTTTTGTTTCAGTTTATTAATATCATGTAGTATATACAAGTTCATGTATGTATATATTTTTCCTATGTAAGTGTCTACAAAGGAAGACAAAGAAAAGTATAATGCTTTGTTAAAAAAATTATATCTGGCTGTAACAAATAAAGAGGTTTGGGGGAGAATTTTTTGGGAAAAGGAAAACAAGGGAAATGTGAATCCATTGTGAATGAAAGGCAATCTGGACCAAAAAAGACCTATGAAATAACTGTCTGATAATAACTCAGCATTGAACTACTTGATTATAAAGGTATAGATATATATACACCATGATCTACAGAATGAGACATCATTTTTTCCTTTTCTTTATTGAGGCAACATTGATTTGCAATATTGCATGATTTATGGGGGCAGGTACACACCTCCCACGTGAAAGATTAGGCTGTAGGATCTCTAAGATTCTCATTTAAGTTCCATCATTTGTGATTCTAGATCAACCAAGGTGTAAGTAAAATTACTTTGATTTCTCATCTTCTCTAATAGTGAGACCAAGCATTCCCCATTTCCTGGGATACTCTGATTTATTAAGATGGGATCGGTAGAAATATCTGGAAGTCTGCTTTGCCTGGACATTTCAAGGAAACACTAGTTCTCATCTCTCCATCTATCAAAAGCTACTTTGGGCTTCTCCCCAAGGGTCCTTTCCCACCCCCATTACAGTGGGCTCCTTGATCCGTACCTGAGGCACATACTGTGCACCCCCTTTCTTCTCTGCTACTTTGTATTTCACTCTGTCCTGCCCCATCAACTATATGGACAGCTCTTTGTGGTCGGAGATGGTGTTTTCTACTAACTTTCCACTTCCAAGTGATTATGCCAGAACTCCATTGCTCTTTATGTCACACAACTAGCAAAACCTCAGACTTGACCAACCCCAGAAGCCTTCCATCTCTGCCCTGTGCCCTGAGGTCACAGGCTCTCCTGGAATGTTGCTCTTCAAGTTTGCTTGGTTCCTTATAAATGAACCATCATGGTTACAGATGGACTGTCACTCTGCCCCGAAGCCAGCCACATCTGTCTTCAAACTCGTTCTTCCACATTCTCAGTCCCTCTTTAAAGTTCTGTGTTCTTAAACCTCTGAATTCCTCAGCTCGCCTCCCACTTAGTAAGTAGCCACATCTCTACTTCAGAAAGAAAGTCAGAGTCAAAGTCAGGTGGGAACTGCCCGCCATCTTATTCTGCCCCTTCCGCAAGACTGACCTCTGCCTTCTCTTGATAGAGCAGCTTCCTCCCCAACACATTTCCTTCATGCTTGGGTCCCTTGTCCTCCCACCTTCTCTGGGGCAGTACTGTTGGCATATCTGTTCTCGCTCATCCCTTCCTCCCTCGTCATCTCTCTTCTCTCCTTCACTTTCAGACTCCTTAAAAACTGGCGAGATGAAGCATCTGTGATCTCTCTCACCTCACCTGCTCTCAACATACCTCAGTCTGGTTTCCATTGCTCTGCTGCATCAGCCTCTCACTACCAGCCACAAAGACCACCTTGTTGCTCAATTTGCGAGTCATTTCTCTTGATTCTTCAGAAGCATTAAACACTGTTGGTCCCGGCTGGTTCTTGCATCACTGCATTTTCAAGAGTGACACTTGAGAGGCCCAAGCATATCGAAATCTTTATAACGGATTGTCCTTTCCCCATGAGGTCCTTGAGATTTTTGCTTTATATTTTCAGACTTATTAGGTACTTATAAAACAAATCCTATTTTTGTGGTTGAATCTTTTATCATTATGTGCATAGCCCCTTCACCCTTAAACTAATAACTAAGACAAAAACATTAACTGTTGAAGATAAGCTAGATTTCTTTTCAATAATTTGTAGTGCTATTTTTTCCCTGTTCTTTAAATGTCAACCTTCCTATTTTACCGGTGAGAAGTTAACTGTCCTTTCTGGTTGTCATTCTTCTGTTGTGTCTGATCTTTTCTCTAGACACTCTGCCTCTCTTTGTCTTTAGTTTAATTGCAGCCTATCTGGGTGTGAATTCCTTCTTAGATAATTTTGTGTGCATTCATTCTTATTTTTTTTTTACATTTATTTTTACTTTTTTTGTGGGACCCTCGCCAGCGGCCGGGGAACGAACTGGCGCCACAGAGGCTGCAGCCCAGCGCTCAACCGCTGTGCCACCAGGGGAGGCCTGCATTCATTTTTCTATATTCATAGGTTTACAACTTTTTTCAGTTGTGGAAAATCTCAGCCATTATCTTCAAACATCATCTCTTCCCCATATTTCTTCCAGATATACCATTTGCATTTTCATTTATCTGATGCAGGGATCACTTTCCATTACCTTCAAGGTCCTGATTTAGTCTTGAAGTCTGACTGTTCAGCTTTCCTTTGACCCAACTAAGTATTTAACTTGTACTTTGTTTAGAAAAGCTACTTTCACTCTCACTTGATGTTTTCCCATACCCACTATAGATTAAATTCACTCTAGGGGGAGGAAGGCATCTTAAAGATTTCCTCTACTTTTATTTTAAAAGATTTTTAAAAATTTATTTATGCATGTAAGAACTGGGGTGTAGGCCAGAGGTGCAGGGGTGAAAAGATTCACCAGAGAGTGGTGAGTAGAACAGGCAGATCTACTGAAATACACTGCTGAGGGAGCAGCGGGAGAGTCAGGAGAGGTCTGCTGCACCATGTGGGTAGCTCCCTGGCTAGGGATTGAACTCAAAATGCAGTGGCTGGAAATAGCTTGATAGTGCTAAGTCTTTAACTCCTGCACCACCAGGGAGGCCCGATTTCCTCTACTTTTTGTGAACATGAATGGGCAATGTGTTAAAAACCCTCCTTTAGCTAAAATCCCATTTTTTGTTTCATCTTGTTTTTGTAACTGAGAACTCTTCCAGTATCTTCCATTTCACTGGAAGTATACATTCTTAAAGTGGAATTCATTGTTATCAACAAGGGGAATATAGCTTGGGAACCAAGACAAAAACAACTGAGAAAGTTCAAATTTTTCAGAATTTTATCACACAGTGTCCCTGCCATTCACTGACAAATAGAAGAGAACTTGATTCAACACTTTGTCCTCTAACCCCTTCTTCGTTTTCCTTCTTGTTCCCTGCCCAACCAGTCTCCCTTTCAATTTAGCCCCAGGGCCTTATGACTCTTCCTTTCCTTTTGGTAAATTCATGCCCCACCTCAATACTTATGTTTAAGTTTAGTTCCCACGAGGAAGGTAGAAACCGCATACGTGATGTTTTTCAAGTACTCAAAGATCTAAAAAAGTCATCTGCTATTCAAACAAATATTTATGAGAAATTAAACCCTTTCTCAGATAACGTTTTCTTTACAGAGGGAAGCTGTCTTAGTCATGATCTAAGGAGCTTATGTTGAAGGGAAGTGGGAAGAGTAGGAAGGAGAAGCGGGGACAGTTGGCCATGAGCACTAACTCCAGAATTCCTGGAGGCCCCCACAGGTCAGTGTCAGACACATGAGCAGTGAGGTTGGAACTTGATGCTAGTAGGAGGCAGTGATGAACTCTGCAGAGGGAGTGAGGAAGGCATCACAAGAGATGATTTAGGACCGGGGTAGGGAGGGAGGAGGAAGATGGGTGGAGAATTTTTGGTGTTCTCCAGTTTTCTTGAGACACATGGTTAAGTGAAGCACTTCCTACCTAGATAGTAACCTGAGCCATGTATTTTATATCTTTCTAGATCAATGAATTGAGCCACGTTCAAATCCCTGTTATGTTGATGCCAGATGACTTCAAAGCCTATTCAAAGATAAAGGTGGACAATCACCTTTTTAACAAGTAAGTACAAATACAACTTTTACAGAACTACGGGGCTGCCAAGAGAAAGATTTTTGTGAATTTGTATAATCACATATTTTTTCAATGGGTGGGAGTAAAGTTTTGCTGATGAAGTTAATCCTGTGATAAACATAACCATCTGTCATTTTCAGAAAAGCAACAGCGGGCCCTCTTGGGTAATATCCCTTTACCATATGGCATATTATTCTCTATGAATATCTTATGTGTTAAAAGTGATATTCTCATTACAATTTAAATGCTTGAAGCTATAAATTGCTTGGATTTTTGAACAGCAATCGACCTCTGCTATCTTATACAAAACTGATCATGATTACTTTATAAACAGAAATGACTTCTTCATAGGATAAAGAATTAAAGTACATTTTTACAAAAAATATGGATGCCATGTTGGACTTTGAGAATTCTCCATTTGAATAATTAGGCATGCAAAGTACCACAATTGTGTGTGTGTGTGTGTGTGTTTCTGTGGGAACACAGACTAGGAAGCAATTCTGAATGAGTGGGATGAGCCTCAAAGAAATTCCTCCCACGTGAGGATCAATTATACCATTTCATATTGGAGCCATTATTCCAATGTGAAACTGACAGATTAATTCTCTTAACTGTCTAGAGGTTGACCTTTTGAGGGAAATCTTTAAGAATTTAGAATGTGATATTTATGTAAAAGAAAACAGGACATTCAGGGAAGAAGAGAAACTCACTTTGTAAGCTTTAATCATCTAGCTGTTGAGGGCGAGTGTGGGGACCTTTTCGGCTCCCCCTGCAGCCCTTCTAGAATTCTACATGCTCTTTGCCTTGCCTTCACCATTTCTTTCTACATGGCCTCTTCCCACACCTTTTTCATTGGGGAAGCAGTTGTTATGTGTGATCAGGATTAAAAAGGTTGTAGAGGCCAAGTGTTTCTAGGTGGTGGAGGGAGGCAGATGTCTTCTCTCTGTCCCCCATCTTGCTGTGGGCTGTAGTTGGTTCCGTGAAGCACACCTGTACCTTGCGTGGGTTATGAACTTGGTCCAAGCACTCGTTTGGCTGCTTGTAGCACTAGACAGCAGATTCAGGTCTGGTTAACTCTTTATATATCTGAGCTTTGCTCCACAATCTGACTGTTTCAGAGAAAACATGCCGAGCCATTTCAAGTTTAAGGAATACTGCCCAATGGTTTTTCGTAACCTGCGGGAGAGGTTTGGAATCGATGATCAAGATTTCCAGGTGAGTTACCTTTGTAACATTTGCTTCAAATGGGTTTCATCATACCTTTTTTGCTTTGTAAAATAGGATTTACATTTTGTTAATGCAAGTAACTCTGTAATAGTAATTCATTTTATAAGAATTTTGCAATGTTCTTTCAGGTAGGATCATGCAGGTATGATTCCATCATACAATATGATTTCAGTAAAAAGTCAGTAGAAAAGAAATTACTCTGTGGGGAGAGACAAAGCATGTGAAGAGTTATATATAATGCCCTCATTTCCATGTGTAGTGTTCTGCCCACAGAACCTACTTTTTGTTCTTGCTGACTTGTTGCTTTTTCAGATTGTCCAATCCTGATCCTGACCCTGCCCACAGCAGGTTTTGACCACTTTATGCCTACAGTTTGGGAAGGTACTGAGGCCGCATTTTTGTCCCCATCAGGGCACCCAGCCCAGCAGCAGCTCGAAAAGTCTGCCCTCTGCCTCTGGGACCCACCTTATAAAACATGAGCGCCTTTCTTTTCTCCTCTCCCCATATTTGCATGGATTCTCGAGCTTAGCTTTTAAAATTGAGATCGTGGTGTTGTCACATCTGTTACTCCCTGGTTATTTCTCCTAGGAAAGGATCTGACATTGGCTTCCTGATTTGCGTCAAGCCAGCCAGATTCATAAAAGCCAATGATAACAAGATTTTTTTGCTCTTAAAACTATGTTAGGAAATGCAGCTACTTTCTGGTCTTTCACGACAGCCTGTTCATATTATAGTGCGAGTATAGACTTATTTTAAATCCTTTCAAATCGAATAAGCACTTCCTCCAGCTTGCCCTAAATTGGAATACCTAATTTATGCTGCACAAAATGTCTTATGATTTTCCTGGGTGACTTACAAGGTTGTACATTGGCGCAGCTCACCCTGTGTTTTCCTTTAAAGAAAAGGGTCCCTAAGGCAAACCCAGTTTCCCAAAGATTACAGTTCCTTAAGTATTTGTGGGCCTCTCTGCCCTTTACCTGTCTTGTTAAAATTTCCAAGAGACTCAATCATGAGAAGCCTTCAAGCTTTCCACATTCTGAGCAGAGGCCTGGGGTGCTGAGGAGAGGGCTGAAGGGATGTGGGGTGAGGAGGATATGGGCTTTTACAAACTGTAGTAAAGTCAGTGATCGGGTGTAGGCTTCAAGTTTGAGAAGTTAGAATAAATTAAGACTATTAAAGAAAAAATTTTGTGATAGCAAAAGAGGTCTGTGTAAAAAAGGAATAACTGTTATTTAGAAACTGTTACTCCATTTAAAGAGGCCCTATAAAAATAAACTGAGTATTAACAGGAATGAACAGCTGTTAATTCTGACATGCTAAGAAAATCTCCTTTGTCTGGTGCTCTTCTGCTAAACTTAAGTGTATTCCTCCTCTGTCCCCCTCCTTTAAGAAAAATAGGGCCTCCCTGGTGTCCTTGGGGTTAAGTCTCAGCGCTATGACCAATGTGGCCTGAGTTCGATCCCCAGTCAGGGAGCTAACTCACATTTGGAGCAGCAGACCTCTCCTGTCTCGCCCGCTGCTTCCCTCAGCAGTGTATTTCAGTAACATCTGCCTGTTCTGCTCCCCACTCTGTCTCTGGTGAATCCTCTCACTCTAACCTAAAGCCTGAATTCTTTTGCACACAAAAAAATAACAGCTACAGTGACATTTGAGAACCCAAGCTATAGGATCTTGTTCAAGTCAATTCATCACCATAATGAAGTCCTTGTTTCTTCTGATATTCAGCCCTGTTAAGTGACATTTAAACTGGACCCTTTGCAGGGCCTCCCCAGTGGCACAGCGGGTTGAGCACTGCACTGTGGAGTTGTCCGCGGCCTCTGCAGTGCAGGTTCGATTCCTGGCCGGCCAGGAAGAAACCCACATGGCGTGGCAGGCCTCTCCTGTCTCACCTGCTGCTCCCCTCAGCAGTGTACTTCAGTCGATCTGCCTGTTCTGCTCCCTGCTCTGTCTCTGGTGAATTCTCTCACCCTCCTGTGCCTCTGACCTATACCCCAGTTCTTGTATAAAAAATAAATCTTAAAAATGAATAAACCTGACCCTTTGCATTCTGACTTCTATACTGCACTGGGAAAAAGTGGTTCTTAAAATTTCCTAAAATGACCAGTTGCTGAATTGAAGACACCAGATTTCCTCTCCTTCCTTCCCCCATCCCCTGTAAGTTGATTTAAATAAGTGCAAATTGCTGAGTACAAACTTTGAAGGCAAATTAGGCAAGTGGAAGATGATTCACAAGTAACTAATTGGCAAGTCTGTTAAATTCTTAGCATGAGCGATCAGTGTAGAGAACCCGTGTGAGTGTAATTAATCATTTGAACACCACTCCTTTCCTTAGCAATGCCTGGTGCTTTTGGCATTTAAATTGCTGCTTTCTCTTTGGCAACTGTAGTTCTATTAAAAAAAAAAAAAAAAGTGGGTGTTGAAACTTTAGTGAAGCAGAGATAAACTGGAGTCCCTCCTAATCCTATAGTCCTCTCCCAATGTCTATACTGCTTAGATTTCCAGCAGAGGCAGAACCCTTGTCTTCAGTTTAAACTGAAGACAAGGTCATATATGTGGGGTTCAATACACCTGGTTGGCTATTTGGTTTGGTTTGGTTTGAGCAGTTTTACCAACTCTGGCACTGGGTTGGTGCCTCGAGGACCACTGCACACTGCAAGGGTGAAGGCAGAAGAGCCAGGGTCTGGTGAGGGACAGCAGTGGGAATAGGTCAAGACTAGGGAGCCTCTCACCTGGGCTCCTTGGCACACTAACTCACCACAGCCTGGCTTTCATCATCATGGCCAGAGCAGAAAACAGATAGCAATCGATGACTTTCAAATTGAATACTTTCTCGATTCCATTTGAAAAGTGAGTTCAATGGCCTGAGGCCCAGCCATGTTCATAGAGCACCAGACTTCAAGCTGCTTTGCTTTGTCTTGCTGTGCTTCTTTCTGCTGAACACATGGTTTTAAATCAATTTAAAGGCTCCATCATGTGTTTCATCTAGTATTCAAACCTTCACATTAAATCAAATGCATAAAAGGTTTCGACCTGCCGTGTTTGTGTGAATACCTGTGGGTTGCAGCTGAGAAAAGTCAGTATCGATCAATAGAGACCACTCTGATAAAAGTAGGCGACAGTAATTAGTTTTCCTAATTGACCTGTATCAGACAGCTGAAACTTCTTAAAAGGACTGGAAAGCATTTCTGTTATCCCATAAACATCTGTATCTTTTCTCTAGTTTTCATGTCTTGTCTTTTAAAAAATAAAACTTTTCATGCTGTTAGTGACAAGTTCAAACCCCATTTGTAGAATACTCATCAACAGCACCAGCATTGAACACAGGTGTCTCCTGTGCGTGCAGATGCAGTGGGGTGTGTGCCTGGTGCTCCAGATACTAATTTATTAGTGTTTAAAATCACTTCATTGGTTTGTAAGATGCCCAGAGTTGAATTACATTCTTATGATCATTGCTGGTCAGTGTGATTCCCATTACCACACTTTTAAGAAGTCTCTGGATTTCAAGATGAGTGCTCCCTGGGGGTCTACTGTCAGGACACCGCAGTTCTGGTCTGCCTGAGGTCAGCAATTTCATGCTTAGTCAACTCAGTGCCTGTTTATTTGTACCTACTGTGTGTCAGGCTCTTTGCTAGACGTTATAGGGAAAGCAGAGAAAGGTGAAGGAATTATTGTTTTCCCCTTATCCAGTTTCAATTAGTCACTGTCCAAAAACATAACAGATAAGTTGAGAGAACACATTCACGTAACTTTTATTACAGTGTATTGTTATAGTTCTATTTATTATTAGTTCTAGTTGTTGATCTCTTTGTGCTTAATGTATAAATTGAAGCTTCTCATAGGTATGTGTGTATAGGAAAAAACATCTGCAGGGTGTGGCACTGTGTGGGTGGCTTCTGGCATCCACTGGGATGTATACCCTCGTGGGGAAGGGAGGAGCTGCTGTATTTTTCACTTGTATGCCAGGTTATCCTTCAGATGCTAATGAGATTTCTAGAAATCCAGACACTTCGATTTTTAATATTCAAGAAAGTCTGCATCCCCTTTCTTGTCTCTCAATATCAATCTTTTATAACAATCCTGGAAGTCAAATGGAGGCTTCACTTAAAGTCTGAGCTTCAGGAGAGGATTATCCACCAGAAACCAAAAAGTTTTGCAGGATGGAGATGCTGCTTTTAAACCTAAATACACTACATAATTGAAACTGAGCCCTCTTGTTCTTTGTGGAAGATAATATCAGGTTTACTTTTCCCCTACTGCGTCTCCTGAATTAGAATCTCTCATTATTCACATTTGATGCATTTTCTTCTTTGTATTTGTAACAGAGAATTCTAATTTCAAATAATTTTAAAAGCTAATGCTTTAAACTTTGAATGTTCTTAAGTTTAAAAATAAAATTCTAAAGTATTAGACCTTCAGCGTAGACTAAACTTTGGGGAAATAAATTCTGCCAGTATCTCTAAGAATATATTTAGTATCACTATGCTTTAAATTTCCCAAATAGGCAGTTTAAAGTCTGGGGGAAGAAATGAAGTCGTACTGGCCTACAGACACTTAGGAGATATTCCTGCAAGAACGGGAGGGAGGGTCAAGGAGGCGAAACCTAGAGTCGTGAACCTTCAGGGTCAGAGCATGGAGGCCGCAGAGTCCAGGAACCCTGGACCGACTGGTAGAATTGTGAGCAGGAAAGCCGGGGAAGTGGAAAACAGGGAACCTGGCTAAAGATCTTAACAGGATTCGTCAGCCTGTGAACAGCTTGCAGGTTTTGCACAGGAGAATGATGTGATGACATCTGGATTTGAAAAAGATAATTAAGGTATTTACAGATGGAAGGCATAAAAGCAGGACAAAGAAATTGGGAGGCCGTGAAGTATCCCAGCAAGTGAACAGGAAGGAGCCAGCGCACTTGGCACTGACCAGGCAGAGCAGAGAGCACTTGGCAAGACAGAGAGGAGAGTCCACTTTCAGCTGCTGTGGCTGGGGCCAGGGGA